TCAATAAAGAAATACAGATTTATGTTTAGGTTTTGACTATGGATACCCTTTAAATGTATGAGATCTGGACCATTGTAACAAATGGCACTGGAACTGCATTAAAAGACTGCGCTCAGATGGGAACAGAACCATGCACTATAATAGCACAAATCTCACATGATGTTTTTACAGAACAAAATGCATACATGTTAACGGGCCATAGCATCACTCTCGTTTGTTCTTAGTGATCTGAAGAATAGAAAACATATTTGTGAAAGGATGAGAGATGAACCCTACCCATGAGCTAACTGCTGCTGCTTCCCTTTATATAATGCTTCTAAGACCCTCAAAAGCTATTCTATTCCTATTGCCTTTTAACAACAAGCTGCTAATTGGGGCAGCCTCTGGGCTTTGCAGGGAAACTTTGGTTTCCATGACAGTCCAATTGTAATGTCACTTTTCACCTCCCAGCTTAAAACACAGATTTGACAGTAGATTCTAAAGAGAGTGACAACTTACACCATACTGAATGTACTCCATGGTAATTATCTGTGCTGTAGCGTACTTACAGTGGTATAAATTAGTAGCACACTGGTCCTTGTCAGTGGTCTGTAAAAAGAGATGGCATCCTCCTGTTGGGACTAAGCTTTAGAGGACTTTGGTTTCCATGACAACCCTACTGTCATGACGCCAGTTAGCTCCCAGCCTTTGGCCACATGTAATCATGTGTGAAACTGAAGTTTATGGCCAATGCAACAACAAAAAATAATATATTTTTGTATAATTGTGTACCCGTTAGAGTACAAGTGGGAGAATCACTAACACAGATATGTGCGTATGTTTATTCCTGGGAACTCCACAAAATGAAAGCCAAAAGCAAACAAAGCTATAAGGAAATAAAAGATAATGCAACTGTCAGGCTCTCGCTTTTCAGGGAGTCATTCACTGCCAGTCATTTTGGTGTCACCCCTCCTATGTGATGCCACTGCATAGAAGGGGAAAGCTAAGATCTTTCAGCAACCAAAAAAGTAAGCAGCACATTTTTAAAGTACAATTAAGGGCAGAGTCTCTCCACTCATGCCTCTAATCTCTGCTGCTATATTTCCCATAGGTTCCACGCCCCAAACCTTCAGACACTGGCATACCAAAGGCATACAAACGCTACACCATCTACTCAATCCTGGAGGACTTTGCATGTCCTTTACCGAACTCTCAAATACCTATCACCTATCTTCCAAGCACTTCCTCCAATATGCCCAGATCAAACACTTTATAAAAGCTCATTTACCTCCCCCTAACACGGATGGCACAGAAGCTCCCTATCTTCGACTCCTCACTTACCCTTCCATGAAAATGTCTCTGTCTTACTTATATCAACATATTGGCTCTACATACCGCGATTCCTCTCCCTCCATACCTACGTTTGCTCTTAAATGGGCGCCTTTATTACAACTCTCAGCGGAAGATACCTACCAGATCTTACTTAAGGGCTGGACCCAGGGGCGGACTAGGCCCGGGGGGCAGGGTGGCAATTGCCCCCCGGGCCTCTGTGTTGCCTTTAAAAACGGCCGCTGCCCGCGGCCCGCGGCCGTCAGGGGGCCGTCACTGGCCCCGCTAATAGAATTTTACGACCGCCGGTGCAGTGGCTCCCTCTGCCGCCACTTACAGAGTACAGAGCCGCTACAGATGCGGCTCTGTAC